TGTCAGGTCCATGTGAACTGAAATGGAGGTGGCCATGATGACAGTGTATACTACATAGCTAATAATACGTTGATGTCTTTCACATTTGGCTTCTGTGGTGAGTGATAAACACCAAAATAGAAATTCTGCAAAATCAAAGAAGAGGTTAGCAAGACAAAAGTAAAACTTACTGAGTCGATTAATGAAATTTGCAACTTTTTAAAACGAATTAAATAAACAGCTAATGTGATTTAAAAAGAGAGGAGAAAAGCAAATTGTCAGGATCAAAAATGAAAGCTGCAAACTGAGAGCAAATCAGGAAAAAATGAAGGAAATCATTAGAAAATATTTTGCCAATTATATTCCAACAAAAGTGAAAAATCATATTGATATGAAATATAAAACACAGAACTATGAATGAAACAAGAAAAAGAGAATTTAAGTAACCCAACTTCATAAAAAGCAATTGAACAAGCTATTGATGAACTCATCAAGAGGAAACTAGGACCAGATGGATTTATGTATGAAGCATTATATGAAACTTTATGTATTGAACATTATATGACTGTATGAAACATTCAAGGACCGATTAAACCAAATATTACTTAAACTTTTTGTAAAAATAAGAAGAGATCCTACTAAGTTCCTTCCTTGATACAAATATAGCCTTAATACCTAAACTGAGGATAGACAGAGCAGAGAAAGAATACTATAGACCAATATCCCTGATAAATACCAATTCACGGTTGTTGAATAAAATATTAGAAAAGAAGCTATAGCTGGGTGTGGTAGCACATATCTGTCACTACTGCTTCTGGGAAGTCTGACTCTGATGGATCGCTTGAGCTCAAGAGTTCGAAACTCTAGTGGAGCTAAAGTTGATTGGGCGTCTGCACTAACTCTGTCATCAATATAATGAGTCCCTTGGAGCACCAGGCCAGGTCAGAAATGGAGCAAAGTTGTGATATTGATCAGTAGTGGGAGCTGTCAATGACAATTGCACTTGTAGCCTGAGTGAGAGGAGGGGAAGGAGGAACAGAAGAAGATAGAAAAAAGAAGAAGAAGAAGAAGAAGAAGAAGAAGAAGAAGAAGAAGAAGAAGAAGAAGAAGAAGAAGAAGAAGAAGGAGAAGAAGAAGAAGAAGAAGAAGAAGAAGAAGGAGGAGGAGGAGGAGGAGGAGAAGAAGAAAAAGAAGAAGAAGAAGAAGGAGGAGGAGGAGGAAGAGGAGGAGGAGGAGAAGAAGATCATCTGATTTGCAAAAATGGCAAAAAAGGAAAATGATCATTATTCAAAGGGCTATGGGAAGACAGCCATACTAATGTGCTATTGGTAGAGTGGTAAATTAGTTCAACCATTCTGAAAAGGAACTTGGATCTGTCAGCATATTCCCCAAAGAGATTAAAGACAGAGGGAAACAACCCATGTTATAAAAATCTTTACAGCAATACCTTGTACCAAAGAACTGGAAACCTTGAGAGGGTGCCCAGCTATTGGGTAATGGTTGAACAAATTATAGTATAGGAATATAATGGAACATTGGAATGTTATTGTACCATGAGAAATATATTTTTAATTTTTTCATTCATCAAACATTTATTATGTTTTACCTGCATCCCACTTCAACCACCTCCCCATTGTGGGGAGGGGGGAAGGAAATACAAAACCCTTGTAGGAAATAAGTCTTGTCAAGCAAAAAATATTTCCTCATTGGCCAAACCCCAAAATGTGCATCTTGTTCTTCATATCAGTCCATTACTTCTCCACCATGCCACCATGGTTATCCGTATGCTTCACTGTCAGTTCTCTGGAATCATGTTGGATGATTGCATTGATTTGAATTCCTAAATCTTTCAGAATTATTTGTTTATACAATGTGGATACTATAGGATATAGTGGTCTCCCAGTTCTGCTCACTTCACTTAAAATCAGTTCATACAAGTCTTCCTAGGTATCTCTGAAACCATCCCCTTCATCATTTTCTTAGAGCACAATAGTATTCCATCACATTAACATACCATAATTTGCCCCATAAAAAATAAAGGCATGGATTCAGAGAAATCTGGGAAAATTTATATGAACTGATACAAAGCACAAAGCCAGAAGATAAATTCATACACTATATCATTATAAAGAAACACAATTTTGAAATAATTAAGAACTCTTGTCAACATGCTGACTAACCATGATTCCAGAAGACTGTTGACGAAACAAATTTCCCGTCTCCTGACAGAGATGAAGTACTAAAGGTCGGAATGAGACATAGTTTTGGGAAGCATGGCCAATGTGAGGATTTCTTTTGCCTGAAAATGCTTGCTTGTTACAAAGGAGGGTTTTTAAAAAAAAATTTGTGTATAAGGTAATTCACAATAGTAATAAAGTAAGGTAAAAGGGAGAGAGAGAGACATTGAAGCATTTTTTAAAAATTCACGGATGAGAAAAGAAGGAAATTCAGAGGAACATAAGGAAAATTATGGCAGCTTTGAAATGAGTGCTGAATTTATTATAGCCTTAAAAAACAAATTATATGTAATAGAGATTTAGTTTACATAGACAATTAAACTTATTTGTTCTTTGTATATGGAAATGCTAATGTTGGTGTTTTCAAGATGAGAATAATATATATGATCAACAATTATACAATTATTCTGATCTTGATATGTGTGTTTGTTTATTGTATATGCATGCCCCCCCCAATATATTTTGCCTAGTGCAGAATTACCGTAGATTGTTAGACAATACAAAGGTAGTCAGATAGATAGATAAAGTGAAGTTCAGTCTCTGAGCTGAGAGTAAAGGGCTTCTGGCTATAATGACCCAGAAGGAAGGCTGCTGGATTTTGGTCCCTGAGAAATAAAACCGGGACTTGCCATTTTTCAGAAACAAGGAAGTGAGTGACAAGAAGGTGGGGTGAAGGGATGGGGGGGCCAGTGGGCAGTGATGGCTTAAATATGAAACTCTAGTAAGGAGAACATTTGGTTGCTCAAAGGCTGATATTCACAAGAAAGAACAAACAAGCTGCTTCCAGGCATGTCTGGGTGGGACAAAAAGAAGAAACTCATTTGAGAAAGTTGCCCTAGGGTCTTTGGACTTAGACTTTTCCTAGAGCTGATGAGGACCTTAGAACACAGAATGTCAGAGCTGGGATGTGCCTTGGGAAACAGCATGTTAGAGCTGGGAAGGCCCTTGGAACATGGAATGTCAGAGCTGGGAGGGACAGTCAGAGTTGGATGGGGTCTTAGAATAATAGGTCTCAGAGCTAAAAAAAAAAAAAGATGTTACAGCATAGAGTGTTATCCTGGGAAGGAAATGAGAGAGTAGTGTATTTGTGCTAGCAAGACCTTTAAAGTATTGAAATTTCTAACTAGAAGAGACTCTGTCAATGAGTGTGTCAATCTCATCATTAATGTGTGCATCCCTGGAAAATATACTGCCAAGGTAAGTGAACTTATGCATGGCAGTAAAAATTCAAAATATTGCACGTACAATACAAACAGTGTTAACTAGTTTTGCTTAACTCCTTTTTTCCCCTCCTCTCTTTTGTTATTTTGTGTTAAAAGGGATAGTTGTCTAGGATAAGGAGTTGCCTAGGATAAGTGTAGCAAATATTTGGAAGTCAAAGCAACATACAAAACAAAAGTTATCAACAACAACAACGAAAGATTTTTTAAAGAAGAAAGATTACTTATTCTACCCTCATTTTCCCCTTCCCATCACTCCCCACCCCAGCTTTACATAGGCAGACACTGAGGCTCCACACAGGGAAACAGGAGGCTCCCTGGCACCAAACTGCTTGATAGCCCTCATTGTACCAAGCCTGTGCTCTTGGTGACTCTCCTTGTCACTCCAAATATAGGGCTTATGCTGCCTTTTGAATGAGGCCTTTGAAAAGGAGGAAAATCAGGGATCTAGAACCATAGGAAAGGGAAAAGGGGGCATTTTGTCTAACAGTCAAAGGCTGTGATGGAGGGTTAGATTTACAGCTTCGAAAAATAAAATAAAATCAGGGTGAGCAAATTAGCAATAATACATTTTAATTGCAATGCCCTTTTCTTGAGTCCTCAAGGAAAAGCCTCAAAAGTCAAGGGAAGTACTTGCCACTAGTACAGACATTTGGCAGTCCTATTCATGCGGCAAAATTCATAGCAGATAAAATCCAAGAAATGGGCAGTAATGAAACCCAAAATTATAACTAGTGTGGGGCTGCTCGTATTTTGTCCCAGGGGCAGACATCTTCAGGGGATTCTTCCTCCCCAAAGGCCAAACTTTCTTTTTGGTGATCTGGAGACTTTTTCCCTCAGTCTCCCATTGTAATAAAACTTGTGGGATCATATGGTTGGCAAGAGAGCAATTGTTTTTTTCAAGCTTCTCCAACCCCCAAACCTCTGAAAAAGAAAGTATGTACCAGTTAAGCAACAATTAAAGCTGAATACACAAGATAATTAGGCAGAAATGCCACAATAGGGTTTTTTTTTAAAAAATCATATTGGTTAATATGACAAAACAGGAAAATGATAAATGCTGGAGATGTGGGAAAATTGGAACACTAATGCATTGTTGGTGGAGTTGCGAACTTATCCAACCATTCTGTAAAGGAATTTGGAACCAGGCTCAAAGGACTACAAAAATTTTCACATCCTTTGACCCAGCAATACCATTTCTAGGGCTGTATCCCAAAAAGATCATAAAAATGCAAAACGGATCAACATGTACAAAAAATATTCATAGCAGTTCTTTTTATGGTGGCAAAGAACTGGAAATTGAGAGGAGGACCATCAGTCGGAAAATGGCTGAACAAGTTTTGGTACATGATTGTGATGGAATACTATTGTGCTATAGGAAATGAGGAGCAAGAAGACTTCAGAAAAACCTGGAAAGACTTACATGAACTGATGCCGAGTGAAGCGAGGAGAACCGGGAGAACGTTGTACACAGCAACAGCCACACTATGCGATGACCAACTTTGATAGACTTAGCTCTTCTCAACAATGCAAGGATCTAAGACAGCTCCAAGGGTCTCATGACGGAAAATGCTGTCCACATCCAGAAAAAGAACTATGGAGTCTAAATGTAGGTTGAAGCACATTATTTGGTGTCTCTTCTATTTGTTTGTTTGTTTGTTTGTTTCTTCTTTCTTGTGGTTTCTTCCATTGGTTCTAATTCTTCTTTACATGATTAATGTGAAAATAGGTTCAATATGAATGTGTATGTAAGGCCTATATCAGATTGCATGCAGTCTTGGGGTGCGGGAGGAGAGAGATGGGGAGAAAATTTGGAACTCAAAATCTTATGGAAGCGAATGTTGAAAACTAAAAAATAAATTTTTAAAAATAAAAATAAAAAATAAAGAAAGGCTTAAATTTTAAAAAATCCTTAAATAATAGTTTAGGTACTCAGAACTCCAACTCATCAGACTCTCTGCCCCCAACCCACTCTCTGTGTTAGATATACTGTGAGCCCAACCCATCCTGCAGACTTGTACTTCAGCATTGGACTCTGAGCATCCTGGCTCAGTTTTCTCACAGCAGTGCCTCAGCCTAAACCACCTTTTGCTATATAAGAAGTAGCAGACACTGATTCCGTCTAGCCATCTCAAAGAAAGGAGAACTAACGGAGGTTGGAAGTAAAAGACAAGATCAGAGCAAAGCCAGCTGGGGGGTGGGGGGAAGAGTTTCCATGCCTGAGGGAGAGGGGACTTGAAATCCACCTTAGGCCAGTCCTCATATACCTCTGACAGGGCACTGGATGGGCCCCCACACCTTCCCAATGGGAGAATAATCATAACACCCCACCTTGGAGTGTGGGTAGCAGTGGAAAGCAGGAAGAGCCAAAGAATGATGAGTAGAACCAGAGACATGAAATTGGGAACACAAAAGGCCAAGGGAGAAATCCTGAGCAAAAACCTACTGAAAAAGACAGAAGGAAAAATGAGTAAAACCTTAAAGAGAAGATGGAATACTGTGAAAAGTATTATACCTCAAAGTAAAATGAACCAAAACTTCCCTGTCAAAAATAGAATTCTGCCAGCTCCTCAGAGAATCAAAAATTTTAAATGGATACTCAGATACTGAATAAGCCAAAGCAACTGGGCTTTGAGGGAAGGGGAGGCCAAAAACATTCCATTGGGCCAGGTCTCCAATCTGCTTTCCTGCCTTGGAGGAAAAGGAGTAACACTGTTCCTTCAATTCCAAGTACTTTTTTTCTGTTTTACGCCCAAAGAGGACCCCACCCTGAGGCCAAACTCCTATGGACAAGGGAAATAAATTTAGACTCTTTCGTCAGTGATTAACAAAATTCCCCCATCCCAGTAACTTTGGTCATACTGCTGCATCTTGAGTTAAACAATCTATCTCCTACCCACTCCCTCCCCCATATGACTGGAATGCTCTCCCTCCTCATTTTAACCTCCCATTTCCTTAGCTTTTTTCAAGTCCTAGATAAAAATCTTATCTTCTACAGGACACATTTCCCAATCCTTCTTATCTCTAGTGCCTTTCCTCTATAGGTCATTTCCTACTTATTATGTAGATTGTTTGTTTGTACATAGTTATTTGCATATTGTCTTCTCATTAGACTGTGAGCAGCCTGAGAACAGGGACTGTCTTTTGCCCTTCTTTTGTATTCCCAGTGCTTAAGCATGGTGCCTGGGGCCTAGTATGTACTTAAATGTTTTTTGATTGATCAATTTACAGAGAGAAATTAGAATTATAAGTCACTCAGAAAAATATGACAAATCAAAAGATCTGAATTTCATACTGTATTAAATAATAGATGAATATTGACAAACACGCAGCACTAATTAACTGAATCCAGAGATTGCTGCCAGAGAAAAACCCTACACTTGAAATTACAAGGAATGTAGTGATTAATCTCACAATTTCAGTAGCAAACACCAAATTTTGCAAAACAATCTGGAGAAAAACACTTGCTATGTGAAACAATATCAATATGAATAATCCATGATTATTCTTCAGTTAGGAGAAATCAATAATGTAATAATGTCATTCTCAACAAGGATAGAAGCTGTAGGAGAATAGTATAAAGGCAATGAAGGAGAGAGATACAGGGATGGGGGGAGGTAGTAGAAGGAGAGAAAGAGGAAAAGGAAGAACATCAATATAAGATATTCAGGGGATAGTGGTAGTGGTGGTGGTGGTGGTGGTGGTGGTTGTGTTGGAAATGGGCATATATCTTTTGTAAGAGATGATACCTTAAAATGCCTCTTGCCCTTGGGGCAATCTACACATTGAGAAACCACTTTCTCTGAGAAAGGGCTATTCCTCTGAGGACTGCATCTTCCTACCCCAGGAAAGAGAAAATATGTATTCGGAAAGGCAGAGGGCATGTAGGATACCAGACTAGAGATAGACCCACAGATAGGATAACCTGGCCTTAAGAATGCTGAGAGAATATAAATTCTTTGAGATTAAGGATCATCTTCTTCTTTGTATATCCTAAATTATGAGGGCTGGCCCTACCCCCTTCCCTTACCATGATCACTCCATAACAAGCATTTATTAAGCACCTATTATATGCCAGCTTCTCTGCTAGGTGCTGGAGATACAGATACAAAGGATGAGATGCTAGCACTTTCCCTCTGTTGCTCATCTCCAGTTTATCCTCTATATGTCTTTTTTGTACATTGCAGTTTGCATGCTGTCTCTTTGAGAGCAAAGCTGTTTTATTTTTTATTATTTTACCTTTCTGTGTATCCTGCACATTGAACACAGTGCCACCATATAGTAGGCTCTTAATAAATGCTTGTTGACTAAATAGATCCCTAATTTCATTGACTAAACAGATGATCCCTAATGTTATGGCATTTGCATTTTTTTTACTTACCCCATGATATTGTTTCCACTAGACCTTAATATTTCTTTTTTGAATTAATGCTTCTAAGAGTGAGACACAGACCTCCCCCACCTCTGCAAAAAAAAGAAGAGTGAGGTATGTTCTACACAAGCAATAACATAGAAATAAGATAGAGGAAGAAGGTATGTGAATTTGGTGTTTCAGTAATGCTAGCCTCATGGCTGGGCACAGAAAGAATAAAAAAGGAGCAAACAATGGTATGGCCTACAGGATGGAGAATGGAATTCAGAAATGATTAGAAAAGACATAAGAGGAAGGGCAAAGCAAAAGAGAACTTTTTGGAAAAGTACGTAGCTGAAGAATGATACTTTAACAAATTGGAGCTGGAAGGTAAGATTTCAAGTTATATGCTTAGTTGGACAGGGAAAAAGATCATAAAAAGAGAAGAATTAAATAGAAAGATAGAGCAATTAGCAATTAAGTAACATTGAAGAATTTAGAATAAGGTAGATAAACAGGATAGACAGGGAAGGGGAAAGTGTATGAGATTAGACTAATATTAAAGTACTGTGAGCAAAACTTAAAGGATTAGATTGTGAACTTCTTGAGGGCAGGGACTATTTTTGCCTTTCTTTGATTTTACAGTGTTTAGCACATAGTAGGCACCTAACAAATATTTGTTGACTTGGAAGGGATAAAAATCGATACAAAAAAGATAAAGAGATGAAAATACAATCACAACCTTAAATGTGAATGGTTTAAATAATTCAATAAAATGAAAAAAAGATAGCGAAATGGGTAATGGAACAAAACCCTGATATTTGCTGTATATTAAAAATACATTTAAAATATAGATATACATATGTAATGTTTGGCTATGAAATGTCCAGAAATTGGGTGCAAACCTAGGCCAGTTACTGAATCTGTGAACACAGAGGCAAGAGATTTGCTTTCGAAAACATAAATCAAAATGTCAACAGATTGATAACTTCCAAATAAGAAATTGGCTTGGGGTTGATACACATTGGTCAAAAAGCATAAATGATTGGCTGAAGAATGTTCCTGTTAAGTGTGTGTCATGACTCCATTTGGAGTTTTCTTGGCAAACATATTGGAATAGTTTGCCATTTCCTTTTTGGGCTCATTTTACAGATGAGGAACTGAGGTACTAGGGTTGCTCTATCCATTGTACCACCTAGCTGCCCTCTTCACCTCTCATATCTTGAAGGAATATGAAGTGCGAAAAGGAAGATTTGCAGATATTCCAAACCACCAGTTCCATAGAGCCTTGTGGTTACTAATGCAAGGTTGTCAGAGATCTCATGAACAGCTAAAGTCATTGAATGACTAATGTATCTGCCAAAGGCACAAGTCCAGAACATAACCCATTTCTAGGCCAAGTCTTTTTACTAAGTAAAATGCAAACAACTGTGCAAGGACCATCAAAATTACAATCCATATCAAGTTGTAATCTGGTTTCATCAAAGATTTTAATTCTGGATACTTGACCGGGCTCTCCTGGTGGTGGTACGCATATGGCTGGTCCATGCGGACCCACTCGAAGTCTTGTCACATGCGGTCCCCCATCTCGGGTTGGGCACCCAGTGCAGCCTGGAGTCTTGGGGTGACTCACTGGTGCTGAAGCCAGCTCACAGGAGGAGCCTTCCTCATTGAATTTCTGGTCATTTTTCTGTCTGGTGTAAGTTTAAGGTTTTTGCTGAGTAGGTGTGGAGCTTCTGGGTGGTCTGCCTCTTGTTCAGGCAGCCATCTGCCCTCCACTCATAGCCACTGGGAGTAAAATATAAATGTTATAAAGATAGGCCTTTGTCTTAGGGAGAATCTTTGGCTCATTAAAGGTCTTGCACAATTTCCCAAAGACAACCCAGCCCTCACTCCTCTCTTTTCCTTCTCTTGTTAAATTGTGTGTGCAGCTCATTGTCCATTTTCAGGACCTGCTTAGATATGTGTACTGATCAGCAAATTAATGCTATGAGTGTATATCTGTATATCATAATCTGGGCAAAGGCCATTTTTTTCCATCCACTTAGTTTTTCCTGTGTGGATAGTTAAGGCAAATTCTTTGGAGTGATTAGATAATCTCACTTAGGAAGACTGTGCGATGGTCTGGAATTTGATGCTCCAAGCAGGAGGTAGGAGCAGAGCTATCACATTCCCTTACTAAAAACTTCATGGTGGGGATCACAGAGTCAAACAGGAGAGAAGTAGCAAAGCAGGAGGTACCCGCAAGAAGCAACCCTGATAAGTAGCAATGAGGAATACTGGGAGAGCCTTGGTTCTGCCTTGGTTCAGGGCAGAAGGGGAGGGAATCGTTTTGGAAGAGTGGCAATACCACACAAGGAGGGCAGTTATAGGACAACAGATGTCAACAAGGAACATCGCAATACAACAGTGCCATTCAGGGCTTAAACCCGTAGAGAGTTTTTAGACAATCTCACAGGAGATTGCCTTATCACTAGCGAGAAAAGGCAGTGGGGGTGATATGAAAATGGATATATTCTCTAAATTGCCTACTAAAGAATGGGGAATGAAGGATAGGGATCCGGGAAACTTTTATTCTGCTGTGCTGCAGCATAGAAGTGGCTGGGAAGGGGGGAGGTGTCAGATCTCTGCTCCCGGGTCCTGGGTGGATTAAGCCTTAGTATAGATGCGTTCTAAGGGCTAGATCCAAACAAGTTGCACCAGGTATATAAGTGTGGAAACAGTAACAGAAATGTAGCAATGTAGCCCATGGTGCTATGCTCTGGGGCCATGAGACTCGCTGGGTTAGTTAGGTTTTGCTGAGCTTATCCAGGGGGGCAGATCTAAGACTAGTGACTCCTCACTTCTCTCCCTGATGCCCCTTTCCCAGGACAGGTATGATTTCCCCACCCACCCCTGTTGTTTTAGATCAGATTTCTCTAAGATAAATGTGAGTAACCATTGTTCTACTTATCTTTGTGTTTCCTTACTCAAATGCAGCAGAGAAAAGGACATGAGGAGGAATACCTGGAAGAGAGAGATTTCACAACTATTACATATGTGTGTGTATGTGTATACACAGGTAATTAATTATATAGGTATATATTTTAGTTATTACTATATAATAGTGATAAAATAATTTATAATTTTTATATTATTTATAGCTAACTATTATATAGTCATACCTGTTATATATAACTTATATAATAGTTATAATTATATAGTATATAAATGTCAATGTAATATGTAATGATATATTATATTATATACATTATATATTAGGGCAGCTAGAATGCGGGGCATGAAGTCAGGAGGACCTGAGTTCAAATCCAACCTCAGACATTTACTAGCTGTGTGATCCTAGGTAATTCACTTAACTTTTGTTTGCCTCAGTTTTTTCAACTGTAAAATGGGGGTCCTGGAGAAGGAAATGGCAAGCCATTCCAGTATCTTTGCCAAGAAAACGCCATAAATGGGATCAGAATCAGACACAATGAAATGAGTTAACAACATCATATATTAATATATAATTATGTGATTCTATCATCTATTTTGTGTGTGTGCATGTATATGTGTTTGTGTGTATGTGTATGTGTGTGTATATGTGTACGTATGTCAGAGCAATTTTCCCGGCTGGGGGCTCTAGCTGAATAAATTCATTGATTCATTTTATGTAGCTTCCCAGAATAGGGAGAGAAAAAAAATATGTGGACCTGGATTATTCTTTGCAATGAATCAGCAGTTTTAGTTGGAGCGGGAAGACTGCTTGTAATATAAGAAGTCAGGCCTCAGGCATTTACTTTTCCTGTTGTCTACCCATAGAGTTTGAGAGGAAAACTGTTTTTGTATTTATATCCCCAGAAACAAGCACAGTGCCTGGTGCACAGATGTTTCATAAATACTTGTTGCTTGGTTGATCGATGCAATGATCCATTGAAGGGCAGAGCTGAAGGATTAACTAGAATGAAAGTCCCACCTGAGAGGAACTGAAGTGGGGAGGGGAAAGAATGATGCTGCCCGTGTGAAGATGAGGCCTTGTGGGAACTGAACTTTTGTCATTTGCTTTTCTGGAGGTATATGCCCAGCAGTGAAACTGTTTGCTCAAAGAGCATGGGTATTGTTCGCAAATTTTCAAAATGACTTCAAGACTAATTATAACGGTTCATAGCTCCACTAATAGAAAATTATTCCTATGCCTCTCTCTATTTCCACTAAAATGAGTTCTTTTTATTTGTTATCATCTTTGCTAATTTGATGGTATAACCTTGGTTTCAGCAGACTGTTGGCCAGCTTTTCAGATACTTGAAGATAGCTACTGTGTCCCTCCTAAGCATTCTCTTTTCCAGGCTAACCATCCCCAGTTTCTTCAACTAGAGACTCTCCACCTTGATGGCATTAACTCAAGACCCTCCACCATTCTCACGGCCATGTTTCTGCTGCCCTTTGGGGAACCTGAAATCTTGATTCTTTCAAGATGGTGGTGGTTTTTATTGCCGCTGCTTTTTTGAGACCATTCTCAAGGAATCCTGTGGGGATGTTCTGTCTCTACAGCCTGATTGGAACTTCAGGACTGAAATTGCTGATGTCTCCTAACTCACTTAATAATCACAACTCCCAGTTCTGGAATGGTTTTCATTAGAGCTTTCCATCTGATGACCTTGTGAAGTATGTAGTTAGTGTAAATGTTATTATTTGCATTTCTCAGACAAGGAAACTGAGGCTCAGAGAGAAGTGACTTGCCTAGTGTCACAATATCAATTATACATATATAATATTATATATAGTAAGTGTGTTTATATACATACATGCAAATGTATATCATATATACAAACATAAATAATATATGTCTTTATAACACACACATATTTCATATATATGGAAAGAAATAAACATTAAACACCACACTGAGAACTAAGTGATTTGGCTAATCTACATTTATTAATTCAACAAACATTATGAGATGGTCATATATTTGTCCTTGTTTTTCCCCAGGTTTTTTTCATTTCTGATGCCTCACATATAGCAGGCATTTAATGAATGTTTATCGAATCGAATAAATTGGACCTTGCTCTCCATTTATTGTGAGTTATACAAACCCTGATGCCTGTTGGGGATGGGGTAGGATGGAAAACCACTTGGAGTTGGTAGAGAATCAACTTTGCCCCCCCCCACCGCCAACTTACCCTTGGGTATCACTTTAACCTCCCTGGGCCCACACCAGGCAGGTTTCCCAACTCAGGTTTCACTTCTGTTCTCAATATGTCTGTACCTGTCAGCTGCAGTCTAAACCTAAATCCAAGATATGGCTCAGATCCACACCTGCCAAGACTGACTCAGTCATTCTCAAGGTGATATAAAGGTACCTGGAGGGTAGCAAGTGCCTAGAGGAAAAGGACACTAGTTGCACTCCAATAAAGGAAACATAATCCCAGTCTCAATTCCAATGTCATCCAGGTGTCCACACCTTGTATGAAGGGAGATTTTCAGAGCCCAAGCAAACAAAACATTTGTAGAAACAAAGCATTCATTCTTTAACCTTGTCAAACTTACCAGGTTCTACCCTCTGTAGAAGTAAAAGTTATTGCTATAGTGGAAGGAGATCAGCACTTAGGTCAGCAGGCATGAGTTCAAACCCTATCTCTGTACCTTATCAGTTGTGTAAATGTAGGCATATCATTTCTCCTTTATGAGCCTAAGTTTTTTCCCCAAATGGAGAATTGTAGCATTTAGAGATACAAGGGACCTAAAAGATCAGTGAGTTTAACACCCGCATTTTACAGATAAGGAAATGGAGGCCTAGAGCACCTAAGTGACATGACCAGTGTTGGCCAGCCAGTAGGTAGCTGTCTCTAAATAATGCTTGTACTCTTAGAGCACTGGCCCTGGAGTCAGGAGGACCTGAGTTCAAATCCAGCTTCAGATACTTGACACTTACTAGCTGTGTGACCCCCCGCAAGTCACAACCCCATTGCTTAGGCAATAATAATAATAATAATAATAATAATAATAATAATAATAATAATACTTGCACTTCTTACTTCACAGGGTTGGTGGTGGGGGTAGGGAGCAAATGTGCTTACCATAGGTGGAGGGGTGGAAGGGACCTCAGAGTCCAACCCTGTCATTTTATAAATGAGGAAACTAAGGCTGAAAAAGGTGAAATAATATATGCCCATGGTCCCATAACTAGTCTTCCTGATGCCAAGCTCAACGCTTTATCCATTTTGTGACCTAACTACGTCAAACCTTAAAGTTCTTGATTATCCTTTTAAAGCGATTGTTGCCCAACGTTCTCCCATTTCCAAAACATTTCAGTCACATCTTACAGGTCCAGCTGCTGTCTGAAGCCTCCCAATTTTCCTTTGGCAGCTCAGCCCAGGGCTTTCCTGAAAGAGGATCCCAGGGTCAGGACCTCAGTCTTGTTCTGAAAAAGGAAGACGTGTTATGGACTACAGAGTCCTGGCTTGGAAATCATAGGATCAGGTCTGAATCCCAGCTGCACAGCTGTGTGGCTTTGAGCAAGTTACTTCTCCTTCCTTTCCCCGGTTTCCTCATTTGCAAAGTACTTAAATCTGTGATCTTCTGGTCCACAGTGAGTGACACAGTCATGTCCCCAGAGGGTCTTTGGAGGAGAAAGGGGGCCACAGGTCTCCTGCTAACCCAAATGAAGGAACCTACTTTGCTCAGCTGGGGACCTACCTGGAGCATGCCTAGGAAAAGTTCAGTGACACCCTGGGGGTGATCAGAAGGGCCAGCGGGCACTACCCAGAAGGTTGGCACTGAGAAGGTGTTCCATTCTTGCCTTGTAGGGCAAGCTGCTTCTTGAGCCCCTCCAGGATAGGGGCTCTTAAATGGGACATGGGGCATATTGTGGTGTCAACTGGCAATCTCTGGTACCCTTACATGGACATAGCCTTGATTCATGGACTGTCTCTTGCACAACACACACACACACACACAGGGCCTGAAGGGACAGAAATATTTAATAATGATATTGTCTCATTGTCTATAGTACCTTTAAGCAAAATGTAGTTTCCCTGTTTCACTCTCTTGACATGTCAATTTTTGTTGTTGCAATGTCTGCCCCAAGGCATAGGAAATTTTGTTCTAGCCCGTCATTTTCATTCAATATGGATCTTTGTGTTTTAATCATATTTCTTGTACTTATCAGTTTGTTGGGTTTTGGTTTTTTTTCCCCCTCCATTTTATCATTCTCTTCCCTTTTATTGGGGAGTTTGATCCATTCACATTTGTCATAAATATTAAGTCTGTGTTTTCCTTCCTTTAATTCTTTTCTGTTCAGAGGATCACGCCATGAAAGATTTAGAGTTGGAATGGACCTTATGGGTCCATTAATAGATGGGGAACCAGGTCTTGGAGAGGTACTTCTCCAAAGCAGTGAACAGCAGAGGTAGGATTTGAATCCAGATAATTGGACTGCAGAGCCCACACTCTTTCCACTATCTATTTGATTTTTTTTTCTTCTTCTTTCCCCCCCTCCTGGCTCCTGAATTTTATTTTTCTGCTTCCATTTGATCCCCATCACTGCACAGAGATTCTTTCCTTTCCTTCTCCTTCCTCCTGCCCTAGCTGAAAGTTTTTGAATTTACTTTTATTGTTATTTTCTCTCTCTCTTTTTCCCATGTAAGCCCTAGTCCAGATAAGAATTTGGTTCAGAATATATCTTGCCCTCCCATCTACTCATTTAATTTGAATGAAATTCATGTATGGCACCCTTTTCAATGAAGTGCCAATTTACTTTATCACCTTAATTTCTCCTTTCTCTTTATGGTGACTGTGGAATCTAGTCTCCCATTATGGGCTTTGTGCTTACTTTCTTCTTTATCCTTTCTGATGTCTGTCACACAAACAAGACCTCTGGGAGACAAAAATCTTGTTCCCTTCTCTATCCAGCCCATCTATCCCTTTCCTATATTTTAAAAAAAGCCAACCTTTTAAAAATGACCTTCTTCTAAGCGGCTTTACTCCCAGAAATATTAATTCATGTAGGATGATATTATGGCTCAGTGGAGGTGAACTATATTCTAGTTGAAGAGGCCCAATCCTAACTAATGCCCTTACATTCACCACCTGTACATCCTAAGGATTTTTTCCAGTGTTGTCTCACATCCTAGCTCTGGACTTATATTTCCTCCCCTCCCCTCCTCACAACTCTTTGAACAGAAATAAAGGAAAAGAATCACCCTCCCATCAAAGTTCTCCTTTTGGTCATGAGGTGACCATTACCTCGTTGGCCACAGGTGAGGAAGTTTTCAGCACTGGCAATTCTTGAAGAATATCTACAAAGTCACAGAGAGGATGTGGCCTTCATAGGCCGAAGGGAGACCTGCATCAATAAAGTTCATATTCTGGGAGGACTGATGTAATTATAATAGACATCTTTATAGCATTTTCCATTTAGAAAGTAGCATATATGCATTACCACCTGTGATCCTCACAAAAACCCTGTGAAGGAGGTATTGTTATCCCCATTTTATAGAAGCAGAGTTGAAGGCTCAGTGAGATAAATTAACTTGGTCAAGGTCACAGAGCTAGTAATAATAGCCCACATTTCTGTGGTACTTTTTAAGGATTCTAAACTACTTTCTCCATAATAATCCAGTGTGGTGGATAGTACAAGAATTTTTTTTCCCCAACCTTGTTTCACATTCTATAGATCATGTGTGTACAATTATTTTGCTTTTGTGGATACTTCAATGCACCTATGTCAGTCAGAGCTTGGAAGGAATGTTAGAAAATAGAATGTTAGATCTGAGAGGGACCTTGGAACCTAGCCTATCAGAGCTAGGAGGAATCTTAGAACACAGAGCATCAGATCTGGAAGGAATATTAGAGCACAGAATGTTAGAACACAGAACTGAAGAGCTGAGGTGATCTCTTAGAGCTGGAAATGACCCTAGAACATAGAACTTTATTATTATTGTTATTACTGTTGTTACCAATGCCTTTTATTCTTGTCACCTTTATTTCCAAGTATGTACTCTCTCTTTGAGCAAAGTTCCCCTTGTAATAAAAATTTAAAAGAAAAACAGTTTAATAAAATAAACCTACTATCTCTGATGTCTAAGCCAATAGTCTTAATTTTGTAGTATTGACCATTTCCATCTCTTTTGCTCATTATTGATCACTCTCCCCTTCTTTAACCCTGTCTTACCTGAAGAGATTACTCTTCTCCTTGCCAAGGCAAACCCTCCTCTTGTACCCTTGATCCCATTCTATCCTGTCTTCTCCAGCAGATTGCACCTTCTACCATCTCCACTTTCTCATTACTCTTCAATCTCTCCTTGTGTACTGGCAGCTTCTTTACTGCCTACAAATATGCCCATAGCTCTCCCATTCTTAAAAACAAACAAACCCTATACCTCATTTGATCAGTCTATCCTCACTAGCTATCATCCCATCTCTCTTTTTTTTTTTTATGGCTACAGTCATTGAGAAAGCAGTGCCTCCATTTCTCTTTCTTTCATTCCCTTCTCTTTTTTTTGGAGGAGGTGCCACTGTGCACTATTTGTTCCCGTAATCACAGTCAAGCCCTGCCCTTCTCTCCCCTCTTCCCCCACTCCAGTTCCTATAGAGGTGACACGTGCATAGTCCTGAGCTCAGCGTTACATAGGGAACAATGCATGGTGAGTGCTAACATGCAGGGGATACTCTATTTCCCCATCCCCAGAAAGGTCTACCCTAAGGAATGAACCAGTATCACTCACCTCTTCAACTAGTTCAAATTAATCCCTCTATTCAAAACCCAGATTAATTCCACATGGGAAATTTGGGTGCAGTTTGAATCCCTACCCCTGCAGTCCTGGGCCTGATTACTGGCCAACCAGGGGATTCCCTTTGGCCAGCCAGAGAGACTTCAGCCAAGTAGGTCCAAGCCTCATCCCCAGGCAGGAAGCAGGGGCTGCTGGCTGATTGGCTCTCCTCTGTCCCTCACCGCAGGGCAAGATGAGACTTAGTAGGGCTGCTTGTTCAAGAATCTTGTGAACATGGTTAAAGCTGCCAGGGGCTTGTTGGTGGGCACCATGTGACCAGCTCCCTTGATAGCGAGGTAGGTGATGTTGTCGAACTCCTTCAAAAAACCAGCAACTTGCTCCCTGGTACTGTCAGACACTAGCCATGGCTAACACTGTACTTTCACCTTCTGGTTCAAGGAATCCATGAACTGCTTCTCTCCCATGAAGTTGCAAGCCATGTCTACATCCCAATTGTAGATCAGGATACGGTATTTCTGACCACTGAGAAGTTTGAGGTATTGCTCATTCACATCTAATAGAAGCACTGAGAGTTATTGTTCACCACCTGGTTGCACATGTCCTCACATGGGACAGATTCAAGCACATATAGGACCTTTTGCACATAGAGGTTGTTTAGATAGGCAGAAGGCATTGTGGAATTGGTGCAGCGCAGGTTCAGTGGTACCTCTGCTCCAGTTATCAACAATGCCTGTTGCAACATTCACTAGACTGGCATTCGGGTGAAGAGATTCCCCACATCCTGTATTACTGATGTATCCTCATTCTCTTCTTAACACTCTGTAGTCTACCTTCAGATTTCATCATTCCACTGAAACTGCTCTCTTCAAAGCCACCAATGACCTCTTAATTGCCAAAGCCACTGGCTAGTGGCCTTCTCTCAGTCCTCATCCTTCTTGATCTCTCTGCAGCTTTTGACAGTATCCATGATCTTCTCCTGGATACTCTCTCCTCTCTAGAACCTCTCTGGGTTCTCCTCCTATACCTGACCATTTCTTCTCAAGGTTACTTGGTTGGATCTTTAGATCATGCCTGATAATTATGGGTATCCCCCAATGAGCAGCCCTCAGTCCTCTTATCCCTCCATAGTACCTTGCTAGGTGTTCTCATCAGTTTTCATGGATCCAATTATCATCTCTAAGATGTAATTTTTAGAGAAATTTATCAAGCCCTAACCTTTTCCTGATATCTGAACACAGTAAGCACATAATAAATCCTTGGTGATTGTTGATCGACTAGGTGTGAGAGGAAACCTCAGAATCTTTCTAATTTGCATTTATCTTGTTATTAGTGATCTTAAGCATTCTTTCATATAGTTATTACCAGATTGCAAATTAAAAAAAAAATAGGGGGCAGCTGGGCAGTGTAGTGGATACAGCACCAGCCCTGGAGTCGGGAGGACCTGAGTTCACTTCTGGCCTCAAACACATAACACTCACTAGCTGTGTGACCCTGGGCAAGTCACTTAACCCCAATTGCCTAACCAAACAAACAAAAACACTTGTTTGTTTTTTCTCTTGACTATGCATATTTGTTATTTTGTTTTCCCAATGGAGGGGACAGGGAGAGAAAATAAATGTTGATTGGGAAAAAAGAAATATTTGTTTATATCTTTTGCCCGTTGGGAAATCAACCAAGAAATCAATCAACA